ATTCCTGCTCTAGTTTGTTGTTGATTCTCCTTGTTTTCTAGATGCCTCCTCCTAATCAGCAGCCATCCCCAGGTCAGCCTTTTCCATTGTCAACTGTTAGAGAAGAATCTTCCATTCCTAGAGCACACTCTGACAAGAAATGGGTCTACCCTTCAGAGCAAATGTTCTGGAATGCTATGCTAAGAAAAGGGTAAATACACTGCAAATTATCAAATAGAGTCTGAGAGTCTGGAATTCGTGAAGCAATGGCATTAGTTATTATTCATCGATATTATTTAAGAGTTTGTGGACTCTAAGCAGTAAATAATTAACTAGCTTTTTAAACAATTACTGGTTTTATAAACAGCAGGATGTCAGCAACTAGTGGTCAGAAAATTTTCTTCAGTGCATAGGCATAGACAAGTTTTGCATGATTGCCAGCTTGCAAACTCAATCCATGCTAAACCTATGAACTGATAGTAGAAGTTCTGTCGTTGTGAGAATGTTTAACTTGACTTTGTAAAGTTACTAAAAATGAAAATTGAGAAGCGGATGTTTTCATTCTTTACAAAAATTCAGTGTAGGCAAGATCTAACTGAGTGATAAATGTTTCCTGTGGCCTAAAAAACCTTCTGTGCTGCTGTTTCCTCATTCTTTGTAATTATTAGTTCATCAAACAGATGAACTTTAAAGACAGTGACTATTAAACCAGTAATTATTTGTTCGCTTATCAATATTCTTAAGACAATGTGTCATAAGCAGTCTGTATTGAACGCAAAAGTTTTGATCCTGCAAACACTGACATGCATTCAATGTTATACCTGTTGAAGAGGAATCATGGTGCAGGGTTAGAGACGTGAAAGGCATTTTGAAGCATATGCAAAATGTACTGCTTACAGGAGTTCTGTGCATTAGGAGTGCAAGTGGGATTTTTCCTAAGCATTTTTACAGATACCGTGGATGTGCTGCTGTTTGCACACTCTGATAACTTTCTGGGCCAGTTAAGCTGTTAATTTAGCTAGCTAGGATTTATGGATCTCTGTGATGGTAACTTTGATAACTATACTTTTACATAGAAAATGAAGTGGTTCTCAAGATTCTTAAGGAGGTGAGCCAGAAGTTTCCATACTACTCTGTGTCTTCGCATAAAAGCTTAAATCTCTTGATTCAAAAGCCCATCGGGTAAACTGAGGAAGGTGGAGTCCTTATGCTCTTTTGCTTGTAAGCTCTTTTCAAATTCTAATTGTTTTAGGTGGAGGTGGAAAGATGATGACATAACAGGTGAAGACATGACCAACATCATTAAGATTCACAACCAAAACAATGAGCAAGCTTGGAAGGAAATTTTGAAGTGGGAAGCTCTTCATGCTGTGTATGTACATACGAAATGGAAAGCAAGTCCTTTGGTTTAGCTCTGGCTTTTGTAATTCTTTGAAAGTAGAATGTGTCTTTAGTTTTCACAGGAATATTCTGCTGCTGATATATCTCAAAAGTTACAGTCTTGTAGGAGCCTGCATTTTGATTAATATGGAGGAAGATTATCCAGAGTAGCTTAACTAGAACTGAATAATTATTCCATCGATGAAACTGATGAGCATTTTGGTGGTGTGTGTATAACATGGATTTGGAGAAATTCTTACCATGTCTGTTTGAGAACTATTTAATTGAAGTCTTTACGTTCTGTAAAAAAATACAAGATGTAAACTTGGATTAGGAGTGAATGGTGTAAAGCAAAGTGTCACTTTTTAGGTCAGTATAGTCCCTGTTCCTGGAAGAGGCAGACTAGTTAAGCATTCTATACGTAAAAATTGTTCTCTGAAATTCCATGATCTTTCTTCAACATTACTTTGGATTATGCTTTTCTGTTCTTTAGTAAGTCTGTGGATTAGATTTGCTGAGAAGTGCCCTGTTGATAAGTTAGAACAATGGTGTGGAGCATATCAAAGGTACTTCATTGTACCAGCAGTAGACATTGTCAGAAACTGGGGGGCTTTTCAGACCTTTAAAAAAACCAAGCTGGTTTAGATCTCTTGTAATTAATTTTGTACTGTTGCTCTTTCTCCTGTTCAGTTTTTCTGTTACTAAAACAAATTACCATAGTGGTTTTAAATACTTAAAACTATTTTAGAAGGTAAAAACTACTTTCTTTTTTCACTCTGTGCACAGGGAATGTCCATGTGGGCCATCACTGATGCGGTTTGGAGGCAAAGCAAAGGAGTATTCACCAAGAGCCAGAATACGTTCGTGGATGGGGTACGTGGGCAGGAAAGAAGGTCTGACAGTGGGGTGGGAGGGCAGGGAGACATGTCTGAAAACGTGGTGTAGAATTAATTTTAAGATGTTTCAGAACTGGAATTGAAAATTACAATTACCAGGAGATAGGAGTATTAGTGGGGATCTTATGCCAATATCTGGATAAATAAATCTTAAATAGGACTTCCACTCCCTCGCCTAGGTTCATAATATCCATTAAAATATCTGCATGGTCTGTTGTATTTCCAGGTATGAACTTCCTTTTGACAGACACGATTGGATTGTTGACCGATGTGGAAAAGAAGTGCGATACGTGATCGATTACTACGATGGTGGAGCAGTGGATAAGAACTACCAGTTCACTATCCTGGATGTTCGCCCTGCGTTTGACTCTCTCTCGGCTGTGTGGGACAGAATGAAGGTAGCTTGGTGGCGGTGGACTTCGTAACTACTCCTGCGGTGCGTAATTGAAAAGTAAACCACTTTCCTCCTGGGCTAAGGAAGTGAATACTGGGACTTGAAAGAGAAATTCACTGCAGCTGTCACTGTTCTCATCATCACCACTGTTCGTTGGAGTTGGGAAGGGAGGATGGGGAAATCCGTTGTTAAGTACACTGATGCTTTATGGTGCTTTGAACGGAATAATAAAGTTACAGTAGCAAAAACATGCATCTTGATTTTCTTAAGAGCTGGGAAATGTTTTCCTATTTTGTCAAAGAATCTGCATAAGCCTGCTGCCTTTTCATTTCGTAACTCCAGTGCTGCACCAAATACATGAGGTTTCTGATTCTGAATGGAATTTTGAGTATTTCTTAAATAGTGAAAACTGGAAATTTCCTAAACAAGTTCACATAGTTACAGTGTTTGAATATTTAGTTGATGAATAGAGGGTAAAAGATCTGGATTGTTCCAAACTGCATGTTTTATTAACTGTATAAAACCATGTCTTTGTTTTCACATAGGCACTTTACCTGTTCAAGTACATGCTTCCTCAGAAAACTTCAGTCAGGTTTATTCTGTTAAAGGAAGTATAGTGTAGTATGAGTATTTTAAAAGGTATGTTAAATTGAGAATAAGGAGAATATGCTCATGCCTTAACCTGCAGTTTATCTTTGTTCAGAGCATCTGTTAGAAGCAGGAAATAAGTGTCAGTTAACCTTTAAAACATTTCTAAACCAAGATAAAATTGGTATTTAATGGCTATTTATTTGAGTATTTGAAAGGTTTGTTTTCTGATGTAAGAAAAACTTTCAGTATTTTCATGTCTTTAATGCCTGTCCCATGTACTGCATTCAGAACAGAATTAAGCCTTATTTAAAGAAACTCATGCAGTGTATCTGTATTTTTTATCTTGGCTTCAACTATACTGTAACCTTTTTTTTTAATATATGGAATCGCACAAGGGTGTGTGACTGCACAGTCACACACATTTCTGCGTAGTGATTACAGTGTGGCATATTACAGATATGTGTATAACTTGGCTGAAAGGGTATCAAAAGTGCCAAGAAATAAGGTTGATTTGAGCGTTTTCTAAGTGTGATGCATGTTGATGCTGTGCGGCTTAAGGAGTTGATTGATGTTTGTGCTTAGTAAGGGAAACAAACTTTTTTTTTTTTAAATTTTGCACTGTAATAGCTTTAAATTTGCATGGCTTGGTAAATTGCAGGTGCCACATAGCCGAAAACTTAAATTATTTCTCCCTTTCAGCATATATTGCTCTTGAGAATGAGTCTTCCATGCACACCACTTGGGAATGGGAGGAGTAAGAGTTTAACACTGTAACTTCTCGAATGGGAGAAGCTTCCTCCATGAAACTTCACAACCTTAACTGGGAAACCAGCTGTACAGTCATTTTCTGAAAGTGGTTAATTTTAACTGGAGGCTTCTTTTTTCCCCCCTTTTTTTTCCTGAGGGGAAAACCCCTCAATGTTTCAGTTGAGTAACTTCCCATTTAAGAAAAAATTATTCAGAGAATCTTCCATACTTAAGGTACTAATGGAGATGAATGGTTCCCACTTTGGAGGAACTGCCCTGCATGGTAGGAATAAATACTGACCTAGAAGTCCAGAATCCTAAGAGAAAACCACGCTCTTACCTCTGTTCACTTTCCTAATTTCTTTTTCACCTCTTTAATGATTCATATATAAATGAAACCCAGTTTGGGGCTTAAAAAAATCTCCATGTGAGTAGGCAATGCATGTATGTGATACCTGAGAAGTGTATGAGCTTGTTTGAAGCATATCTGATAATGAGAGAGCTACTCCTCTCTGTTCTAACAGTAAAGACTGAGGCTTACTGCTTTTCGGGGTGGGTTTTTTTCTTTGGTTGGTTTAGGTGTACATTTGGTGACTTGATAACCAACGCAGAATTCTGTATTTCTCACAACTAAATATGGAAAAGGTACCCCAGTGTGGGGAGTGCTTCAGAAGCTTCAACAGAACGAGTTCGTTGGTTTTGGAAGTGTGATGTTGAGTGCGTTATGGAAATTGTAATTGCTGATAAATCTGGTGGAAGGTGTCACGTGCCTCTTCCTGCGTGTACCGTCTCCATCTCACATAGATTCCAAATAGTTCTTTCTGTGCTGCTGTTAATGAATTGTACCATTCTATCATCAAACAAAACGAAATAAATTATACTTTTCTTAACTTTGGTATTTGGTGATCATATTTTTCGCTGTAAGAATTATTAAGATGAGCTCTTTCATTTGTCATGGGATTATAGTCTGTTCCAATTTATCACATCTTTGAATATGTACTACTTATTTATTTAGGTGAATACAGAACCAGAAACCAAGGACTAAATCCAAGTGTTCGCCAACCAAACCAGCAGCTCTCAGAATAAGGTGGCAACAAATACATTCGTGCTGAGTCTGGCTTCTGAAGAGAGGAATCCAAGGAATTTATTTTTAAATAATCTGGAGTGTAAATTAAAATAATTAATTTCTACGAGCACTAAGACTTAAGGAAGTAAACACAAACTTTTCTAGGTTTGGGTGGCTTTCCACATGATGTTAGCAGTTTAATATCTCTCACAGGATGAGTGTCAGTGTGATTAGAATTCTGATGTACACTTGAAACACTGATTTAAATTGATGTATTTTTACCCTTCAGGAGGATATTTTAACTGTAAAATACTGTTTAGGCTAGATGAAAGGTAATGTTTGTGTGTATGTATAGGCATAAATGAATATATCCTTTCTTGGTAAGTATAGAAAGGTATGGAGAGTTCATGAAGCTCAAAAAAGTGATGAAGTTTCCTGATCGGGCCCTTCTGGGAATTCTGCAGTGGTCCCAGTCCCACTCAGGCTGAAACAGGTATTTGGAACCCAGTATCTCAGACCAGCTTAACCTTGTGCACATGCAAAAGGAAAAGTGTGGACGCTGTCACTAAAGTAGGGCTGCTTTTTAAATGAAGTTCCTGTAAGTTCTGCTTTACTGTGCTGAAGCCCTGCTTGACCTGTTGTATTTGACTCTTGCAGCTCAGTGAGGTAGGAGCACACTCCTGGGCTGCAGCCGAAGATGCTCAGAAACTGCAGTCTCTGCGGCTGGTTGATGGAAAAGGACTCCAGTGTAATGCTCCAACTATAATCGGGTCTTCTGCCATGCATATGTAGTCAGGAGCGGTACTGAGCTTTATTACCTGGAGCAGGAGACCCTTCTGCATTCAAATACGTGGTTTTGGCCTCTTGCCGTCACATCACTTCAGGCAGCCAGGGACTGCCCTGCAGTTAGGGTGCCTGGCACCACGCTGCCAGTCTACAGTGGCACCAAAAATGTGGCTGCTGCACCTAACACCCTCCCTACTCTGCAACGTTGGCTCAGCTCCTGCTTTTCTGCAGTACGTCCCGTTGGTATCTGGGCAACACCAGCGCCCTGTGAATAGTGTGTAATTCACAGGCTGGTCCTGACGGGATGCCTGGAGTTCCTGGCTGTGTTGAGTCATCCTATGATATTTTGCCCTTGCACTGTAGGAAAAGGAGGGGCTGTAGCTCTTCTATAATTTTTTTTTTTAATTTCCTTTTTTCCCCTCCTTCTTCCCTAGAAATTTGCTCCTCTCTTTCAATATTATGCCAATGGTCTTAGCTTCAATCGCTTTATGAACTTTTCAGCTAAACCCTAGAATTTCTGCCTTGCTTTGCTGTAGAAGAGAGGTTGTATTGCTGGTAAGAAGGTGTTTGTGTCCACTGTTGATTACTGTTTGTTTTTTTTTACTGCCAAGAAAAGTGTTCTGGATTACCGTTTTTGAATTACAATGTGAAAGAGATATGCTAGTTAAGTGTGAAACGAGACAACAATGCTGCCTAACGTTTGCATAATATATTTACTACCAGGACTTTAATGTGCTCTCTAAGTAATTATTTAAAGTCTAAAAGACGATGATAAACACTGTTCTTCCTCCAAGAGGCTTGAGAGTGGCAAGGGATCTCTTAGTGCTCTAAAAATGATCATAAATAGTCTATCATCTTATACACTCTCATTTTTGTCATTCAGCTCCTGTGTCAGAGTGTGGAAGAATAACAGCTAAAGTGCCAAAGTTCAGATGATGGAGCCACGGGTACTAAAACTGCTGTGGCTCAGCAGCTAAAAATGAAGGAAACTGGTAAACTAAGGAGCACTGCCTAAGTTTTTGACTCTTACTAAGGCTGTGTTTTTTTGAGAGGCTAGAAATGCCCCTGTCAAAAATGGCTCTCCTTTACTTGCTATAGAGATCCGACCCCAACATTTACCAAATTAAATTACACTTCAATCCTTTGCCTCCCTTGGCCTAAACCTGGAGGCAAATCCACATAGTAAGGTTCCACAAGCACATGCACTTGTGGAAGATCAGCTTCCTTGGAGGACAGAATGTGCTGCTCATAATGCTAGCTGTGCTTTCGTTTTCAGTGTTATGCAGGTATCTTGACGTATCTGCTTTTTAAAAATACACAGCACTGCTAGTTTTCAACACTTTTTTGGTGTGTAACTTCAGGCATTTTTACTCTTGCTGAAGCAAGTGTGTTCTGTTTATTATTCTATCTTAATTTGTGTGAGGTGAATTGCAGGCAAAGATCTACAGGCAGTGAAGCAGGTATTGATTCTCTTGGCAACATCAGTAACAGTAGGAACCTATGGTCACGCTAGAAACGTCATGGAAAAAGCATCCTTTTCAGTTTGTACTGGAGGATTAATCACTTTTATGTGCACCTCCTTTGAGGAAAAAATAGCTTGTATCTTAATTTTTTAATGAATATGACAGTTGCATCTATTTGGTCTCACTACTTTTACATCTAATTGTATAGAAACCTGTGGGGAGAGTACTAGTTTTGACTCCAAACCTAAATGTGTGGCCTTGAGCCTGTGTGAAATGATGCCTTATTTGCCACTTCAGTCAACAGAAACAATGCCACTGATGCCAACAGCGGCTACTCACAAGATGTGTCTGTGTATCTGCAGCATGGGTACGTATTTTTATGGCTGGAGTCTGAATGAATCCAATTTTCAAAGGATAATGTAAATATATTTGAAGTATTTGGATTGTTATTAGGCCCCATTAAAAATATAAGAGAATAAATAGTTTCTTTTGCTGATGCTTGAACCATGGCGTCTCTTATAAAATAGAAACCGTCACATTTGTTTTCAACATTTTATGGC